TTCAGAAATTCAGAAATTCAAAAATTTTGAAACTCTGAAATTCAGGAATTCAGAAATTCAGAAATTCATTAATTCCGAACTACGGAACTTTGTGAATTTTGAAGTTCAAAAATTCTGAAATCTTGAAATTCCGAAATTCCAAAAAAAAATTTTTTTTTCAAAGTTTTTCTAGTATACAAAGAATAATAAAGTGTAGGTGGCTGTGAAGACGGAATGGGTGCACATGTTCAAAACTTCCGGTGTATGTATACTCATAAATGTCGTGGAAAAATAAATCTTTCTTTTTTTTGGTTTTGCAAGAAAATAAATAAAAAGGGATCTTGTGATTTTTGGAAAAAAACTTTTTTCGAAAATTTTTGATGAGATCAGTCACCTGACACATGGAATGATGACCTTGGAATGGGTAAATGTGGCCTAGAAATTAAAAATCTGAAAAATTAGGTCACGATCATTTTTGAATTCGAAGAAAAAATTTTGTGACCTACATACCAGATTGGTAGACTTTTTTTAACTAGAAAAATGCCAAAAAAATTTCATGAAAACATTTTTGTCAAAATTTTTTCCCCAGACAAGGAAATGAGAGAAAACCGTGGGAAAATAAAAAACATCATTACCTCATTTTTCATTTTTTGAGCAAGTTTTTGAGCCCATAAATAAACAGACGAAAAACAAATTCTCAAGATTTTCAGATAAAATATGTACATTAATTTGAAATGTCTGGAACTTTTGATTGCTGAAAATATTATTTTCAAATATAAGGATGAAATTTTGAGTGATAAAAAACCACTGGAAATGTCTGAAATTCTTTAGAATTCCCAAGAAAAATGAGGGCGGATTGTAAAAGTAGGTGACTCAGTTTTTTGAAATTGCGGAGTTTCAGAATTTTAGGATTTCTAAATTTCTGAATTTTCTAATTTCTGAACTTCGGAATTCACGAATTTCTGAATTTCTGAACTTCGGAATACACGAACTTCTGAATTACTGAACTTCGGAATTCACGAATTTCCGAATTTCTGAATTTCTGAATTTCTGAATTTCTGAATTTCTGAATTTTTGAATTTCTGGATTTCTGAATTTCTGAATTTCTGAATTTCTGAATTTCTGAATTTCTGAATTTCTGAATTTCTGAATTTCTGAATTTCTGAATTTCTGAATTTCTGAATTTCTGAATTTCTGAATTTCTGAATTTCTGAAATTCTGAGATTCTGAATTTCAAAATTTTTGAATTCCTGAATTTCAACATTTTTGAGATTCTGAAATTCTGAGATTCTGAATTTCTGAATTTCTGAATTTCTGAATTTCTGAATTTCTGAATTTCTGAATTTCTGAATTCCTGAAATTTTGAGTGATAAAAAACCACTTGAAATGTCTGAAATTCTTTAGAATTCCCAAGAAAAATGAGGGCGGATTGTAAAAGTAGGTGACTCAGTTTTTTGAAATTGCGGAGTTTCAGAATTTTAGGATTTCTAAATATCTGAATTTTCTAATTTCTGAACTTCGGAATTCACGAATTTCTGAATTTCTGAATTTCTGAATTTCTGAATTTCTGAATTTCTGAATTTCTGAATTTCTGAATTTCTGAATTTCTGAATTTCTGAATTTCTGAATTTTTGAATTTCTGAATTTCTGAATTTCTGAATTTCTGAATTTCTGAATTTCTGAATTTCTGAATTTCTGAATTTCTGAATTTCTGAATTTCTGAATTTCTGAATTTCTGAATTTCTGAATTTCTGAATTTCTGAATTTCTGAATTTCTGAATTTCTGAATTTCTGAATTTCTGAATTTCTGAATTTCTGAATTTCTGAATTTCTAAATTTCTGAGTTTCTAAATTTCTAAATTTTCGGAACTTCTGAATTTCTGAATTTCTGAATTTCTAAATTTCTGAGTTTCTAAATTTCTAAATTTTCGGAACTTCTGAAACTCCGAATCTCAATTTTGAAGTTTTTCAACTTTGACCAAACATGAATAATTAAAACATGACATGTGCTCTTTTTTGTGCAAAAAAGAGCAACCCACCCATTTTTGCCACTATTCAAAAATGCAAAAACTAGAGAATTTGACATTTTTTAGAATTTTTGAAAAAAGAGAGAACGTCATATTTTCCAAAAGATGATCTTTAAAGATTCAAAGAAATCGAAATACCGTAAACACTCTAATAGAACGCCACTTAAACCGTTAACTTTAAGCCCATGTATCTCATTTCCTGTAAACAATATCGAAAAGTAGTCAATTGATAAAATGTTGATCATAATATCAGCAACATTTCATTAGTTAACAACTTTTTGATATCTGTCACAGGTTAGGAGATATTTGGGCTCAAAGTTGACGGTTTGAATGGCGTTCTATGTATAAGAGCGATTACGGTATCTGGAAACTCCCGAAACATAATTGATTTTTGGATTAAAAAACATTGTAACAATCAAAACACGACTGATTCCGAAAAATTGGAAAAGATTTTTTTCATGATTTTTTGAATATTCATCTTCTTTTTGTTTTGAAAAAACATTCCTTAGCTTCCAAAAAACCCATGGACCCAAAAAATCGGAAACATGAGAACGGAAATAATTTTTTTTCTGGGTGGGAGAAAATTGAGCGAATTCTAGAAGAGTATGGAGAAAAAACAAAGAAAAAACCTGAACATAAAAATAAGTTTTTTTTTTTTGAAGTTTTTTTGGGTCACTGGAGATTCTGATTTTTTAGAAAATGTTCAGAAATTCAGAAATTCAGAAATTCAGAAATTCAGAAATTCAGAAATTCAGAAATTCAGAAATTCAGAAATTCAGAAAATTCAGAAATTCAGAAATTCGAAAATTCAAAAATTCAAAGATTCAGAAACTCAGAAATTCAGAAATACAAAAATTTAAAGATTCCGAAATTGTGAAATTCGGAAATCCAGAAATTCTGAAACACTAAGAATCTGAAAACTAATTTTCCAGGAGATTCTCATTTCTGGTGTGACGCCTACGGTCTCTTCGGATTCTCCGAGACGTTTGACGTCTTCGGAAGAAGTGCGCCGAGCAGAAAAAATCAAACATGGTGAGCAAAACATTTTTATTTCTTTTGAATATTTTTTCCAAGAAAACATATTGGTTCCTATGACAAAAAAGAGGGAGAAATAAGTCGGAAATGGAAAGAACAGACTCATTTTTTTCTATTTTTGGAAGAATCCAAAAATAGAAAATCAAAGGTACAAAACACAAAATTTTTTCAGAAAAAAACTATAACTTTGAACATTTTCGAAATTAGAATTTTTTAAAAAATCGTAAAAAATCAGTTTTTCAAAATCCAGATTCCCCAAAATCACAAATTTCAGAACCAGAATGCCCAGAATCCTATCAATCCAAAAATTCTTAAATTTTTAAAAATTTCAAAAACTTCAGGATTTCAAAATTTTGCAGGTTCCTCAGAAACGACGGTCTCTACTTTGAGCAGGAACAAAATCGTGCTCGTGAATGGCAATGGGTTTATCCACCATTGGATTCGTACTCCATTGACTCCATTGATGCCATAAATGTGCCACCATTGCCAACTTGGGTACCATACTAGAGCACACTTCATTTTTTTTTTGAAAACAATTCTCTTTTTTATAATTTTTTGATTTTCCGCTTTGTTTGCTATTTTCATATTTAATGTTCCGATTTTATTGGGAATTTCAAAATTTCAGAAATTAAAGACTTTTCGAATTTTTGAATTTGTCATTGTTTGATCTTCATTTTCTGTTCTTCAGAATTTCAGAATTTCAGAATTTCAGAATTTCTGAATTTCTGAATTTCTGAATTTCTGAATTTATGAATTTCTGAATTTCTGAATTTTATGAATTTCTAGAATTTAGAAGTTCTCCCGTTCCAAGCTTTTGAATTTTAAGATTTCGAACGTTTGCATTTCAGAATTTTTTTTCGTTTTTGTACTTTTCCCATTACTTGTCTTTTTTTCGATTTTTTGAAATAAAATCTTCTCTAAAATGTTCCGAAAAAGAGTAAAAGTGTCGGCTCAAAAAGAGAGAAAAAAGGATTTATTGACTCAAACTGACCCCTCGTTTTTTCTCTCAAGTGTTCCGAAATTTGCCCTTTTTGATTCATCCCGAAAACCCCCAATCATCAAGCCTTTGCAAATTATTTTTTCATGATTTTTCTCCGTCTTTCTCTGCGTCTCTTTTTCTCGTATTCTCTCCTATAGAAGCAATCAAAACGATTAGCAATGACTGATCCTTCCATTCCTTAATACACCCTATTGTTGATGTGTGTTAGAGATTTCCGATCGAAGAGACGCAGAGAGAAAAACGGAGAAAAGTTTTGAGAGGCGGGTGTCAAGTGGAGATGGATGGATGGGAGGGGGGAGATCACGAAATTCTCGAGATTCTTTTTTTTTTGGAAATTTCGAAAATATTTTTTTGAAAATTTAAAATTTCAGATATTTTAAGATTTCCATTTTTTTTTGACTATTTTTAGATTTTCTGAAATTTCAGTTTCCATATTTCTCTAATTCATGCTAGAGCTAGATTTGGTGGCGTTCCAGTTCACAGAGGCACAGACAACGGGACACTCTAACTGTCTGCATCTCTTCTAAACTTTAACCTGAGCTCATGGAAGCTCTAGAAGCATATTTTTAGATAATAATGAAGGAAATTCAAAGTTTCAAGAATCTTTACTATTAACAATCACCAAATTCTGTCTGTGTGTCCGTTTGTTCCCGGTTCCACGACCCTAGCAAAGTCCCCAGTAGACCAAAAATTCTCAAATTTTCACAGATTATCAGAAATAGCAGCGAGATGTTGCCCGTCTATTTTCATTTTGAAATTTTATTTCTGACGTCATCTGGAGACGTTACTCCATTCCTACTTCTTTAGAAAATTATTTTCACGTCACTTCCGTCCAACCCCTCTATTTTTTTCCTTATCCACACTATATCTGATAAAAAGGTGATTTTGTGAAAATAATTATTTAGTCTTAGTTTTGAAAGAAGAGAGAAAGAAAAAGTTCAGTAAAATTTAAAATTCTGACTTTCTGAATCCCCTAACTTCTCAAAAACTGAATTTCGGAGATTCTGATTCACGAAATTTGATTATTTTTTTCGAAAATGCGAAATTTCTAACCTTTTTCCTATGCTTCAAACATTTTGGTTTCACTCTGAAATTCTAAAATTCTAATTCAGAAATTCGGAAAATTGGAAAAATGGTAACTCGAAAATACCGAGATTTGAAACTTCGGAAATTTTGAAGTTTGAAAATCAGAGAATTCAAATGTCCAATGTTTCGGAAATCCAGAAGTATAAAAATTCAGATATTCGGAATATTAGGAAATTAAAAAATTTGAAAGTTAGAACACTCGAAATTTTGAAAATCCAATATCTCGAAAGCAAAAAACCAGAAAAACCAGAAACTCAGAAGTTCAGAATATCAGAAAGCCCAAGTTCGGAATTTAGAAAATTCGGAAATTCATAAACTTTGTGAATCAAAAACTCAGAAATGTGTTTTAGAGAAAATTCTGAAAATCTGATTCGTGTTAAAATTTTTAATTTTTGGAATTTGTGAAGTAGAATCTCAGAAAGTCGGAAACACAGAAACTCGAAAATACAAAATTTCAGAAATTATGAGTTCTGAAATGAAGTATTTTAATAGAAACATCTTTGAGTTCGAGGGTCGCAGTTCCGAAAATTCAGGACTCCTGAATTTCTAATCTTCTGAAAAAATTATAAGTTGTCAAATTTCAAGATATTCGGGAATTCAGACAAATTATTAGTTCTGAAAATTTGGAAATTTTGAACAGTTCGTGTATCAACTAAGACACATTTCTGATCTACATTTCTGATTTATCTGTCCAAGCCCAAACTCAATCGGTTAAGGGTGTTGTAAGCGGGAGCCAGAAGGTTTAGCCCCCGAAGGCGCATAAGCAGACTGTCACTCCAGTTTATGAAAGTTGACAACACAATCAACTAAAACTTCCTTTTCGGATTCTCTCCGATTTGGAAATTCAAACGTTTTTTGTGAAGCCGGGAGACTGTAGCCGCTGACAGGCGGCGGAAATCGACTGGTCTAAACAAATTCGAATTTTCTAGCTCATCTAAAAGCTGAGGTGCATCATTTTAAAGACTTAAAGAGACACAGACAGTTAGAGAGTCTAGCTGTCTGCGCCTCTTTTAAACTTTAACTGGGTATATCCCAGCTCACAGAAGCCATAGAAATATGATTTTTGTACAGAAACACAGGAAATTTAAAAATCTATAACTTCAAAAATTATTGGAGCTTCCAGCTTATCTAGAAGATAATATTCACATCATTGAAGTTATAAGAGACGCAGACAGTTAGAGTCTCTTGTTGTCTGTCATTTCCTTGGTGCTCAAAATAGATTATTTCGAATTCTCAATTACAAGATTTACTGATTTTCAGAGTTTTCGATTGCTGGTTTTCTGAAAATGACTAAAAATAATTTCTGGAAAATTTTGGAACTTCTGCACTTCAAAAACCTCAAATGCTCCAATTTTTTACGCTTATTTCATTTTTTTTTAAATTTCAGAATCCAAAGAACAAAAGATGAAGACTACGGTACTCATCCTAATATCACTATTCTCAAAAATTCCAATTTCGGAATCCAACATTTCGGATGGACGTCCTCCACCATGCCAACTACCTCCATTCACTAATTTATTACCATTAAACTCAAGAAGAGAATTGCGAAAAATTTGGGCAGGATTTCATTCAACGACAGGAGCGAAAAAGTGTGAACGGTGAGTTTTTTTTTTGGAAAGTAGAATTTTTTAATCTTTCAAAAAATAGTAGATCTTGAAAAATCTCATTTTCAGAAAGGTTTTAAATTGAAATTTGGATAATTTTGAGTTGAGTTATGGTCAATAAAAGTTGGTGGCCTAGAAATTGAAAATCTGGATTTCTAGGTCACCAAAGTTAAATTGATTATAACTGGCTTCAAAATCAATGATTTTGAATGAAACAAATATAGATATACAGCTAATTTTGAGTCTCGAAAATCAAAATAGTTTCCGTGGCCTAAGAAATTAAATTTTAGGTTTCTAGGCCATCAAATTCAAAACAGTGGAAAATGGCAAAAAATATGCGCTTGGTATAACAATGACGATTTTTCCTAGATCATCAAAATGCCCGCGAAAAATGAATTTTTAAACATTTTCGTCACTTTTTTAGACAACTTGCACAAACCAAAGAGCTCATCGCCGGTCTCGCGGAAGACATGAAATTGAAAATTCTGGATTGGGACCGTCCGAACACTTCTTCTGGAGGCATCGAAGAGCGAAGAGGGACCAACTTTTTGGCGGGACTCTCGGAAGAGCAAACGAAAACTTATTCGGGAGTAAGTTTTTGAATTGTCGAACTTTTTGAAATTTTTCTTGGAATTTCTGAAGTTTTGGAATTTCTATAGTTTCGAATTCTAAGAAATCAATTTTCAGATCATGTCCAATCGATCGATCACCCATGAAATGCGATATGATCTACTCAGAAATTGGGCATCTGAAAATTTGGATCTCGATGCTATAAATCAAGTCGAACAGTTCATCTCCTTCCAGCAACGCAAAAATAAGAGTTTCAAGGAAAAAGTAGGTCAAATTTGAAAAAAAGTAGGTCATCAAAATTTTCAGGTCGACAAACTATCCTCCGAAGCTAGAATCGCTCACGATCGTCTAGAATCTCTGCGTCTCCTAAAACAAGACGTCTATAGTAACCTCTCGGAAACCGCGAGAAAAGAATTGGCTGGTTTGTACAGGTACCGTAAACCAAAAATTTTTCAAAATTTTCTTCAATTTTCAGAGCGAAATGCCCACGTGGCAGTATATATGAAGCTAGCGATTTGGATGCCGAAGAAATTCAGTTGGCTTGTTCTGTTGGTCGGTGTCTGTCTGCGTGTCTAGGAATCTTGATGTCTCCAAATTTCAGATGACCGTATCCCTCTATTCCGGACGACGACACTGGTACCTACAACACTGGAACCCACCACGACGGAGGAGACTACATCTACAACAACATCACTGCCAACAACTACAGTAACCACTACTACAGTACCAACAACTACAGTACCTCCAACCACAGTACCTACAACTACATTACCTACAACTACAACAGCCCCCACCACAACTACTACTACCGTACCCCCTACCACCATCACAACCACCACCACCACCACCACCACATCTGACGACTTCCTATGGGTCAAACTGACTACAGCAGCCCCGGAGACTACTGTAGAACCAAAATTATCGTTTGAAATTGAAAAATCTAACAATACAGTACCCCTTATCCCTTCAAGACCCCACCAAGTGGCCTCGATGTTTGTGGCGGATCCCGAGAAGCTAACAGATTTGTTGAGAAAGATTTTTAGTTATCGAAATGATAATAATTGAGTTAATTGGTCTCTAATTAGTGTGCTCATAAGATTTCAGGTTTCTAGGGCGGCTGGGTGTCGAGATATGGGCGTTTAAAGTTTTGATCTACGCGCGGCGCGGTCGCGTCGCGGTCGCTCAAAACTTTAAACTCGCATATCTCGGCTCTCCGGTCAGCTAGAAGTCTGAAGTTTTTTTTCCTTATGTCTATTTTTTGAAATCCAGGTCTTTCAATTTTTGTCTCCTTTCCCAACCATTTCCTTTTTTCATATATTTTTTCAAAAAGCTTTAATCTGAAAATCAGAATTATTAATAAATTTTTTATGTCTTCTGCTTTTTTTGCATTCAAAACCTAAATTTCAAAATTTTCATTCAATTTTTTTATTTTTGCAAAAGAATTGAGCATAAATAATAAGAGGTACAAAATAAGTCAAAATTCGGGGGTTTTAGAAAAATCTCTATTTTTGAAAACAAAAATTTAATTATAATCAAAAAAAATCTAGAAAAAAAGAGGGAAAAATGAAAGACAGAAAAATCGGGAAATTTGAATTTTTCGGTTTTTTAAGAAACCAAAAAAATTAGATGATCATGTTTTTTTTCAAACAAAAAAGTCGATAATTTAGAGAAGTAATACATGGGGAAAATCACAATACTTTTTGTTGGGAAATCGGGGACTCGTTTAATTAGTTAATTAATTAATTAATTGATTTTCAATCAATTAAAAATTAAATGCCAACAGTGCCGGACTGAAAATATGTCTTTGGATTCGACATTCTCCGTAGACGATCCATCAGGGGCATCCCCCCACTCCGAGTTGTCGAAGGAGAAGCGTTTCCGTGCCAACCCGCCGCTGCCTGGAAAATTTTGAATTTGATGTTTTAATTTTTTTTAATAGAAAATGCGCTCTATCGAACAAAAGTTATTCGAAGTTTCTAGCTTGATTTTGAAGATAGTTATGGGGGTTTAAAGATATTTAGAGTTTTTAAAAGTTTTAGAATTTTCAACCTGCGCCTCTTAAAACAAGACGTCTACAGTACACCCTTGAAGATAGCAAACAGAAATTTGCTGGATTGTACAGGTACAGTAATCCGAAAATTTCAGAGCAAAATGTTCACTTGGCAGTATCTATAAAGCTAGCGATTTGAATGCTGAAGCAATCCAATTGGCGTTATCTGTTGGTAGGTGTCTGTTTGTGTTTCTAAATTCCAGATGTCTCCGAATTTCAGATGAACGTATCCCCATATTTCGAACCACTTTAGCTACAGTACTCTCCACTACAGTATCCTCAACGACAGCCCCGCGAAAAACTACAGCAGAATACTACGGTACCCCGAACACCACCACCATATCTGACGACTTTTTACCTGTCAAACAAACTACAGTAACCCCGAAGACCACTTTAGAATCAAAACTATAGCTTGAAACTAACAAATCGGATAATGCAGCACCCTTCATTCCTCTAAGATCCCTAACCGTTACAGCAACCATAACTACAGTATCCCCAACGACTACAGTACCCTACCTGTATGATACGTAGCCGCTGTCGATAGTTATTTGCTCGTGTGTGATCGTTGATAATCGGTTGGACGTACGATGACGGAAACCATCCGCCCATGCTGTCACCGGCGGCTCTTTCTCCGAACAGCCATCCTGCAAAATTGAGGGTTACTGTAGGCAATTTTCAAAAATTCGAGCTTTTGAAGATTGTTCTCAATGAGTAGAACTCGTTGACCGAGAATTGGAGGTGTGGCAGCTACATCTCCCCTATCTCAGCAACTCGTAAAGATATCAAAAAACTGTCAACTGATAAAATGTGGAAAATCCAATTTTGTACATTTTCTTAGTTGGTCACTTTTTGGTATCTTTTTCAGCAACTAAGATAAATCAAATTGCATTCAAGTTATCCCAAAGTTATAAGTCCCAAAAGTTAGGAAAAACAATTTAGAAGAAAAGTTTGCAAACCATCAGGCATCTTTCGCAAAATGTTCAGCGAATCGCCAATATTCAAAACGAGCTCATCAGCTTGAGATGGTTGGTAGGGATGGACGACGATCGCTTGTGGACAGTCCCATTCGGCGTAGATTTTCTCTTCCGGGTTAGTAGACTGAAATAGGATTAGATAGGGAGAAAGTAGAGATTTGGTAGGAGTTGAGTTAGTCCCGTAAGATTCAAAAAGGCAAGAAGTATGAGATGGAGCATAGAAAATATGCTCCATGGCACTATTTTCATGTTAAGTTGAATTTGGGATCGTTAGGATGCATATTCGCTCCATTGCAATTCAAGCTAGTTCTCACTGCTACAGGTCTACGAGATCTACAAAACTCCAAAACGCGGTATATCTAATAATTTTTGTACAGAAATGTAGGAAATGAAAAGTCCCACATTTCTAAACAAAAATCACATATCTAGCTAATCTAGAAGCCAAGATATAGGCATTTAAAGTTCAGAGAGACGCAGAAAGTTAGAACGTCTCGTTGCCTGCGTCTCTCTTTGAACAGATGTATCTCAGCTTCTAGATGAGCCAGCGACTTCAAAAAAATTTAGAATTGTAGAATTTGAAAATTCCCACATTTCTAGCAAACAATTACGTTTTTAGCTCATCTAGCAGCCAAGATATGAGCATTTGAAGTTTAGAGAGACGCAGACAATGAGACGATCTAATTGTCTGCGTCTCACTAAACTTCAAATGGGTATATATTGGCTTCTAGGAAACCTAGAAGTAGGATTTTTGTTCAGAAATGTAGAAAATTGAAAACCCTGCAATTCAGATTAAATTTGAAGTTTCTAGCTCATCTAGGAGCAGAGATACTTAAACTTGAAATTTAGAGAGACGCAGACAACGAGATACTCTAATTGTCTGCGTCTCTCTAAACTTCAAGCGGCGGTAGCTCGACTTTCAGATGAGCTAGAAATATGATTTTTGAACAAAAATAAAGCAAATTAAAAATTGTTTGATTCAACTCACCGTCGGCGGCCTCACCGCACTCAGCCATCTTTCCCGATCCGTCTCACTATCAGCTGATAACAAGAGCTCCGTCTGCTTCTCCCTGGCATTCCTCATCAACGTACACAAGAACAAATGGGGTCTTCCAACTAGATTGCTAACAGCACCCAATGGAATTTTCGGATTATCCGGCTCAATCGGTTGCATATCAACGAACCGCCTCGCCGCGTAGTCCTTACACACGAATGTCCCATTCAGCTTCTTCTTTGTGATCATGATCATATCGGAGAACAGGAAGACGTGAAGGGTTCGTGCTTTTTGCCGACTTTGGAGGATGTTTGAGGATCTTCGCTCCACTAGCTGAGTCAAAACTCCCTTCTTGACCAGGTACCGACTATTGGACACCAATGGGATCCTCTTAAGATCCGCATCTTTGTAGATCAATCGTCGATCGATATCCAACAACTGTTCAGTCCTTTCCATCCTCCTCGCTCCTTCATTACAATCTCTAACCACTCGATTGGAACTTGCCAATGCTTCAGTAGCAGTTTTGTAACGATCATCAGTAGTTGGGATTCTATCCAAGATAGCGTACAGAAGCAGTGGATACCTTGTGATTCTTTGCATCGGAAGCATCAAGAAACTTCTCATATCGAGACCCTGACACTGTTTGTTCTCCTCTAATCGTTGAACGGCTGATAGGAATCCGGGATTTTCAGATTTCAAGCGTCTTAGGGTTCGATCTTGGTAGACTTGATTGGAACAGTACTTGATGTACACCTCGAAATGCTTCTCGAAGTGCTCAGAGAGAATGTCACAGATGTCGTCGAGAATCAGATTCTCTTCTAGACGAGTCTCCAAGTCGCACAGTAGTCTGAAAAATAAGTTTCTAGAAGGTTCATGACAGAAAATCAAATTCTGAGCATTTCACAACAAGTTTGAGATTTCTAGCTCATCTAGAACTCGAGAAAGAGTCGTTTGAAATTCAGGAGGATAGAGACGCAGAGAGTTTTGTCGTCTGCGTCTCTCCTGAACTTCAAACGGCTATATCTTGGCTTCTAGGTGAGCTAGAAAAGTGATTTTTGAATAGAAATGTAGGAAATTCGAAATTCTATAAATCCAAATTTTGTTAAAGTTTCTAGCTTATCTAGAAGCCGAGAGACACAAACAGTTTTATTGTCTCGTTGTCTGCGTCTCTCCAAAACTTCAAAGCGCTGTAATTCGGCTTATAGGTGAACTAGAAATGTGATTTTTAGATAGAAACGTAGGAAACTTAAAATGCTGCAAATCTAAACAACTTGGAAATTCCTCGTTCATCTAGAAGCAGAGATATATCCAAAGAGACGCAGATAGTTAGAGTGACTCGTCGTCTGCGTCTTCAAAACTTAAAATGGATATATCTCGGCTTCCAGATGAGCTAGAATTGTGAATTTTAGATAGAAATGTAGGAAATTTAAAATTCTACAACTAGAAACTGATTCAATGTTTCTCGCTTATTTAGAAGCAGAGATATACGCCGAGAAGCGCAGACAGCTAGGATGCGCCATCGTCTGCGTCTCTCCTAAACTTCAAACCGCTATATATTGGCTTCTAGATGAGCTAGAATCTTGGCTTTTGCACAGAAACGAAGGATTTTGAATGCGATTTTGATAGCCCTCAAAATTTCAGATCTTATACTCACCTCTCCGAACAATCTCTGACTGCGAAGATATTACTGAACAGATGCTTTCTATCAGAGTCTGATAACACTGATAACGCAGATTTGGATCCCAACATCTGTGGACTCGCCATGAAGTGAGTGATAAGCACATTCAAAGATCTCAAATAGCTCGCTTCCGATGTGATAACTTCGAAATAGGCCTCCTGTCTTAGTTTGCAAACATCATCGAGCTTCTCTAAAAGTCCGGCGGCTCGAACTTCGGGAAGCTCACACCAAAGACTTCTTTGTGATCCGAAATTTGAAGTTCCCACCAAACGATCACGTCTCATGGATGTATTCGATGTGAGGGCGGAGGCTGAGGTTGTAGAGCAGTCGGCGCCTCGACCAGAGTCTGATGAGATGGACGATTCGCGGCGGGTCTGCAGTAATTAGTTTTTTAAAACTAGAAAACCCAGAAAAAACCAATTTTCTAGCGTCACCATGAGCCGAGATACAGCGTTTAGAAGAGACGCAGACAACTAGACACTCTATCCGCCTGCGTCTCTCCCAAACTTCAAACGAGTGTATCTTGGCTTCTAGATGAGGTAGAGGTCTCGAACTTTCTGTGAAATGCTCAGAATTTAGTTTTCTTTCTTTTGCAAATAAATTTTTTAATTCCAAAAATAGCTATCTCACCGCTGGCTTCAACGCGACCACTTCCTGAACGGGCATCACCACTTCCACTGGAATCTCCTCTTTGATTTCTTCCATCGTCGACGTCTTCGGATCTTCAGCAGTCTCCCCAACAACGACAGCTTCCATCATATAATGCTGGTACAACGGTTGCTCATTCGGCACCATTCGACAAGTATACTGTCGTTTGTATTCCTCCTCGCCGGGCGATGGTTCATCGGATGTTGGCGTCCATGAATCATCCAGCGGTAGATGGCCGACTGCCGGACGAGCCAGAAATGATTTTTCTGACTCTGCCATTATTGAAGACGATGCGGGACGAGCGGACACGACTGGGTCTAGGAGAAGATCGGCGGATTCGTAGTCGGAAGAGATTTCTGGAATAATATAGAGGTTAAGGGCGTGATAGGAATTCAGGATTTGAAATTTTGATAAAGGGAATTCAAAATTCTGAAAATCCAAAAATCCGAAATTCTGAAGTTCCGAAATTCTAAAATTCAGAATTATAGAAATTGGTAGAAATTGTTAATGTTTGAAAGTCCAGGGGGTGGTCTGGTACTAAATGACAGGTGGTCGCCATTCAAGGAGAGCACCACCCAGAGAACATTTCAGAGCACATCTGGAGCTGGTGCCAGGCAGAACCGGGACAACTGGGTACTAAATATGGGGTTGTCAACAATTTTTTTGGAATTTTCTATTACGAGGACACAAGGAGCCATAAATATTAGATTCTAGAAGACCACTCAAATTAAATGAAAATTGAAAAAAAACGCCTAAAGGGGTAGACCGTATAATACGTAGAATACCGTAGAATACCGTAGAATACGGTAGAATCTACCGTAGAATACAAGGGTGAAGAATCAAGAGACAGAGTTGCTATCGACTGAGCTACGCGGTTCACATGTGGGCCTATTGAAAAAACTAGCTGTCAACTTTGAGCTGCTTTATCTCGGTTGATATGAAAGATATCAAAAATTTGTCAACTGATGAAATGTTTATCATAAAATTTCAAACATATTATCAGTTGACTATTTTTTGATATCTATTACAGAAAACGAGATATATAGGCTTGAAGTTGGCGGCTTGGTGACCATTTCAGGAGGAAAAAGTGGTCAGTTAGCGAGAGCCAACTGAATGATTTATTTGATTAGTTTTTGGAGATAAGCAATGATTTTTCTTTGAAAAAAAAATAATTTAAAGACGCACAAGACATAGAAAGTTGTTCATTATGACAATTCTAGAACCTTAGAATTTCAAAATTTCCAGAATTAGTAAATAAGGGCTTCAATATCAGCTGTCTTCTAAAAATTATAACTATGGTAACTAGTAATTTTTCTAGTCATTTCTAGAAATCTCAAGATTTCGAACTTTATCTGAAATTTTCAAAAATTTTCAAAAGAATTATATGAAAATTATATATAATTTTCTTTTTGAATTTTTCTGAAAATTCCAGGTTTGGCTATTTTTGGAAAATCTGAACTTTAATTTTAAAATTTTCACAAAATCTAAATTCCAGGCAATTTTCGAAAACAGTCAGAGAACTATGAATTTCAGCCAAATTTAGAAAACTTCAAATTATTTGAAAATTTTTAATTTCAGCTAAATTTTCAAAAATCGAAAAAAAACAACCTGAATTTCTCGTTTTTTCAGACTTTTTTTAAAATTTAAAATTTTGAAAGTTTGGAAAATTTACAATTTAAATTTTAGAGATTTTTTACATTTTTTAAAAAAGTTTTAAAATTCGAAAAATTCAAAAAAATTGATTTTCTCGCGTCGTCATCAAAAAATCATCAGTCTATCTGTGATAACAAAACAACCATATTAGAAATTTCTCTTTTTTCGAAAAACCGGTTTTTCGAAAAAAATATCTCAAGGTGTTTACTATAAATTTTGCGAAAAAAAATTAAAGAAATGAAAAATTTTGAACCCAAAAAGTTATTTATAAAAATTCAAAATTTCATCAAAACATGCAAATGTGCTCCACCGAAAAACTAGTAGATCAAAAGAAAGACTTACGTGATCTACTCTGATACTCTGGGAATGCTTTGTTCAGTTGCTCCTCTAATTGGCGGTACATGGAAGAGCGGCGGTCATCTGGAAATTAAAAAAAAATTTCAGACAAAAACCTTTTTTTCCAGAAAAAATAATTTTTTGTAAAAATAAAATTGTATGTGTGTGCTTGTAAAAAAACAGTACTTTTTTGTTCTTTTCCATCTAATATTTGTCTCTTTTTTCCGTCCTTTTCTTCCTTCTTCTTCTTCTTCTTCAGCTACGCCGTAATGTATACAGAAGAAGAGAGTGGAAGAAGAAGAAGGATGAGCAATTCGTCATCCGAAGAGAAAGAAGAAGAAAATTGTTTTGGTACATAAGTGAACATGGGAAAGGTGAGAGAAAGGATTGATATTAAAAAATTGGAGTATGTCTGTGTGTCTAGTAGTATGTATCTCTCGAAAGCATTCGAGAGATTCCCCGAGGTGGGATTTTTTCACTCGAGGAATTGCTCTCGAGAATCTCCCGAGGATTTCTCGAGATTTCTCGTGAATCTGTCGAGAGATTAAGAAGAATCCTCGAGGAATTTTCAGTGTGATGACCTAATTTTTGGCATAAGAATTTTCTATGCCACCGCAGCGGATAGCCTAGAAATGACTTAACATTCTCCGAAATTTTTTCTAGGCTATTTTGACGTGGTGGCCAAACTTTTGCAACTTGAGTTTTCTAGGCCATCATGTTAAAATGACCTAGAAATGGTCTGATACTCATTTGATGGGATTTCAAGGCCGTTTCAAGGTGGTGGCTTAGAAAACTCAACTTGCAAATGTTAGGCCATAGTGTCAATATGACCTAGGAAACACACCAAATGAATATCAGGTCATTTCTAGGTCATTTTAACATGGTGGCCTAGAAAACTCAAGTTGCAAGAGCTAGGCCACCACGTCATAGAAGGCTAGAGAATGTTAGGTCATTTCTAGGCTATCCGCTGCGGTGGCCTAGAAAGTTCTTATGTCAAAAATTAGGTCATCACACTGAAACTTCCTCGAGTTTGATTTTTTAAAATTCGATTTTTTAGGCCAAAAAAAAATGACATAGAAAATCATGTTGAGATAATTAGGCCATGTCGTTACGTTACTTTTTTTTGCAAAATATTCAATAAACAACGACGCTCCGAAATTCCGGGCGCTCGTTGTTTACCGATTCCTCGTTTTCGAATTTTTAAGAATCTGAGAATTTCAATATGTTTCGAAAAAATTTTGGGAAGCTACATATTTTTGGGAAGAGTAAGAGTATTCACAAATAAATAATAATACATTTTTCATTTTTCCGTCACCAAAATTCTCCAACATAGTAGACTTAGTAGGCCCCCATTGGATCAGATGGATGGGGACAATAGAAGCATCGGAAACATTTTTTGATTGAAATAAAAATTCTCTATATAGGATGAAATTTAAACCAGCGGAACAAAGTAGTCCTACTTTTTTATTGGGGGACAATAGATAAATTTTTTTTATGAAAAAAGGTTTTTTGGGGGAAAAAAAGCCAAAAGTATGAAAAAAAAATAAAGAACAAAGAAAAGGAAATTCAGGAATTTTTTTCTGAAAAAATTGTTGAACTATGACATTTTACCATTTTTGTTCAAAAATGGACCAGTTCTAAAACGTCATAGTGCTAAATCTCTATTATGTCCTAGTTCTGAAATGTCGCAGTTCCAGAACGTCTCAGTTCTATAATGTCACTCACCATGAAAAATATCATCATCATCACTGCTCCAATCATCCCCATAGATATGGTCATCATCTTGGAAAGGTTTATCCACACACGAAGACTTGGACATCTGGAATCACAGATTTACAGATGGGAAAATTTAAGAATTACACATTTTTCTCTGATTTTTAAGCGAATTTCTTCGAAATCGCATCCGAAAATGGCTCGAAAGTTTGTTATAATTTTTTTGTAATTTTCGGTTTTTAAGATTTTTTGAATTTTATAAAACTTTTCCCACACAATGATTATTGAATTTTCGGATTTTTGAAAAAAAAATATCTCGCTATCTGAAATTTTGAAAAATTCGAATTTCTGGACTTTCAAATGCTCGAATTTTTGAATTTTTGAATTTTCAAATTTATGAGTTAAAAAAATCTTACTGTAGCCGTAAAATCCGTATCCAGAAGATCCACACTGACGTGGCACTTTGAGCGTCGTTTCGCTGATTTGTCGCCGACTTTTTGGCGTAATTGGCCAACCTGTAAATAGCCAATTAGTGGAGTTAATTGGACTAATTAATTGGTTAAAAAGGTTTGGAACACTTCTTTTTTGTTTTTTGTTTTTTTGGAAGTTTCTAGGGAGGAAAAACGCAGAGATCTAGAGAATCGAGGGATCCAGACCTCAAAAATTTCTGAAAACCAAAAACTTTCACTTCCGAATTCTCCTTCGAATTTTCAGCATTCTGGGACCACTTTCAGCCGAGATACAGACGTTTAAAGTTTAAGAGAGACGCAGACAGCCAGAGTGTCTAGCTGTCTGCGTCTCTCGTTTTCAAAACTTCGAAGGGATGTATCTCGGCTCGTAGAAGAGCTAGAGAAGTGATTTCTAAGCCAAATTGGAGATAGTTATGCCGATTTTCAGCTACTTTTTTAATTATCAAAAAATATTCCCAAAAAAAACTAACCTTTTTTGACAAGTTCAACTGTAGCTCACTCTTGAACCTGAACAGCTTTTCCAACTCCATTGAGCTCACTCTTTTCGTACTTTTTGGATTCCTCTGAAGCGTCGAAGACAGGAATCTCTCCTTGACCTTCGGAACTTCTTCCTCTTCTTCCGCCTCATCGAAAACTTCCTCATCCCTTAAGAAGTTCCTGGGTACTGTACCCATGACGTCTGGTTTTGTGAAGTCCGTAGATTCATAGGTACAGTAATCCGCCAATTCTGCAGATTTCCTGTGGGTTGGAATATAGGAAGTGGAGGATTCGTGAGGGGTCACAAGCATGATCTCTTCATAGCAACCATCGTCTTCTGGGGCTTCGGTGAAGGGAACGTCCGGGACCGGAATGCTAGGGATTCTGGGGAAGTTTGAGGTTATTGAATTTCTCACTGGATTCCTAAAGTTGACTGGGAGAGTGCCGAAATGAGATTTCAGGAGAGGTTGGGGGTTTGGATAGGTGTCGTGGGATCCTCCTTGGGACCCTCTGAACCTCAAAGACTCCTCTGCAGGATCTTGGGACCCTTGGGACCCTTGGAATCTTAAGGATTCTCCTGTAGGTTCCTGGGACCTCAAAGGACCCTCTGTGGATCCTTGGGGCCCTGGCATCCCTACCGGTGGCGGTGGTGGCGGGGTCTTCAGTCGAGCCCTTGGCAGTGTTGACGAGCTCATTGATCTTGGCGCTGGTGTTGGCTTCAGATAGCTAGGAATCCGCTTTATTCGTTCTTGAGACGGCGGGGCGCTGGGGATCGGAGGCGGTGGAGATACTGGTGAGGGCTCGGAAGTAATTGGGATGGTTAGTGACACCCGACACCGTTCCTCGTAGATCGGAGTGGCGTCTTTTCTAGAAGATTCTAGAGAAGAAGCTTCGGGAGAATTTGAAGAAAATGGCTTGGAGTCTTGAATTGAGCAAGATGAAGACGAACCTTCCACAATCATGCTTGTTGCTTGGAGAGCACTGGAAATAGAAAAATGAAAAAAATATTTTTTGGGGAAAAATGTCTCATACTGTTGACTTTTTGACTTTCTGACAGAGATGAATCATACAAAAAAATCATCCCAAAAATGAAACATTCTTTTTTCTGTTTTTCAATCAAAGCGAAGCATCAAAGGGTAGAAAAATAAAAAGTATTCGAAAACGAGAGTTTGGGAACTTTTGAGTTTCCTGAAAAATGTTTAAGTTCTCGTTTTTGTTGAAAATCATAAATTAGAAAAAATTTCCTTTCATTCTGTCCAAGAACCACATTTCCAGCTTATCTAGGAGTTGAGATATAGCACCTTGAAAGTTTGAAGGTCAGAGACGCAGACAACGAGAGACTCTAACTGTCTGCGTCTCTCCAAAACTTCAATTAGGTTTATCTCGGCTCCTTTTGCATGAAAATGTAATATTTCCCAAGTTCTCTAATTTAAGATAAATCTGAACTTTCTGTCTAATGTAAAAAAGGAGCTGTATCTCATAAAAAGTCTAGAGACGCAGACAGTTAGAATGTCTTGTTGTCTGCGTCTCTTCTTAACTTCAAACGTCTATAACTCAGCTTCTAGAAACACTAGAAACAGTATTTTTGCACTGAAATGTAGGAAATTTAGAGTTCTTCCATTCTAAATAAAATTTAATTCATTATCACAATTAGAATCTGATAAATTTCAAAAGTTGTGATTCACCTTTTTTTCTCAAAACTTGGATTTTTTTTTGTTTGTTTTAACATAACAAAATCCTAAATGTTGGTCCAAAAATCAATTTTCTAGCTCATCTAGAACTCGAGATAGAGTCATTTGAAATTTAGAAGAGACGCAGACAACTAGAGTGTCTTGTCGTCTGAGTCTCTTATCTCCAATACTTTAAAGGGTTATATCTCGGCTTGTAGATGAGCTAGAAACTTGGTTTTTGAAACTTTCGAGATTTACAAAGTTCCCTTCACTCACCGTTGTCTTGGCGCTGGTCTCGGTGACTCGAGATTCTCCTCAACTACCGTACTTCTCGAACTACACGGTTGTTCAATTCGAAACGATGCAGAAGTGTTGGGTCCCGGCGAGAAGTCGTCCGTCGATTTGCTCTTCCGAAAGTCGGAAGATGTGCTGAGGACGGCAAGCTCACTGCTGCTACGCGTTCGTCGTTTCAACGAACTTTTTCGGCGCGGGATCGCACTTCCGCGGACCACACGGCCTCTGAAAAAAGGAATTTTTTAAAGGTTAGTTAGAGAAAAAACCAAATCCTTCAGTTTGGTCCATAAACCAACTTTCTAGCTTATCTAGAACTCGAGTCACGGTCTTTTGAAGTTCATAAGAGACGCAGACAGTTAGAGTGTCTCTTTGTCTGCGTCTCTTTAAAACTTCAAAGCACTGTATCTCGGGTCAGACTGAAGCTAGAAAATTGAAAGTTAAACAGAAATGAAGGATATTGAATTTTCCACATTTCTGTTTAAAAATCTTGTTTCTAGCTTTTCTAGAACCCGAGATACAGCTGTTTGAAGCTCAGGAGAGACGCAGACGGTTAGAGTGTCTCGTTGTCTGCGTCTTGTGTCTCAAAAATTTAAAATTACCGTATGTCGGGTTCTTGCTATGCTAGAAAACAGTTTTTTTTTGAATTTTTAGCCAAAACACAGTTTTTTACAAAAATTTAAAATTGCTGTATATTGAGTTCCAGCTAGAAGTTATAATGAAAATGTAGAAAATCGAAAATGCCTCATTTCTAAACAGAAACCAATTGTTCAGCTCATCTAGAGCCTGAGATACAGCTGTTTGAAGCTCAGGAATGACGCAGACAGTTAGAGTGTCTCGCTGTCTGCGTCTCTTGCCTCCAAAACTTCAAATCACTTTATCTCGGCTTCTAGGAGACGTAGAAACGTTCTTTCTGAACAGGAATTGTGGATTTTAAAAGAATATAATTTTTGATTTTTCTAAAAACTTCAGAGCAGACTGTAATTAAATTGAGTGACCAATCATAAAGTTCAAAACTCACTGTTGGATATGATTATTATTTTCAATCACACGAAACTTGCCAATTCGTTTGGCAGTGACCGGTTTGTGCTCGATTCGTGCTCCTGATTCGAATCTGGAAAGATTAGCGTATGGGAATATCGAAAAACTGGAATTTTCTAGAATTTTTGAAAACTTCACTTTCGTTGATTTCTGAATTTTGGAGTTCCTGACCTCCTAAATTTTTCGACTTTTCAAAGTTTTGAAATATTGAATTTTAGAAAAAAAACTTCTTAGCAATTTCAGAATGTTCCAACTTCGAAAAATCGAATTTTAAACAATTCAAAAAAAATTTAAACTATACAAAAATCTTGTAGAAATTTCTAATTTTTTCCAAAAAGAAGAAGAAGGAGTGGCCGTTGAAAAAGGGAGGGGGTGGTCATTTTCCACAACTGATAACAATGTATTTTATGAATATACAATGGAAAAATAAACAATTTTTATGTATAGATTTTCTTTTCTTTTTTAAATAGAAATTTAGCAAAATTTGGGAAAATGGAAACATTAAAAAAGTCTAAAAAATCTGAAAATCCAGAAAAATTGGAAATACTGAGATCCCAAATCGAAAATGTTCAAAGAAAATTCTGGAATTTCAAAAATTAAAAAATCGGTAGTTCCCAAAAAAATACAATTTCTTTTCATTTCCTTTCACTCTGAAAACACAGAAAAATCAAAAGAATGAAAGAAGAAGAGAACAACGCCCAACGTCTTCTTTTCCGCTTTTGCCTGTCCGGTTAGAAAATACAAAATAAAGAATAATAAAAAAAAACATATCATAGAGGATATGTCAATCAACCGGAAGGCTAATGTGCCTATTGTGTTCGGTTTACTTTGTTTGTTTGAGAGAGAGAGAGAGAGAGAGAGAGAGAGAGAGAGAGAGAGAGAGAGAGAGAGAAACTAGTAAAACACAGAAGCTGTTAAAATGATTTATGCGATTACCGTACGACCTGTAATTAGAAGGGCTACCAGACTACAAACTGTGAGTTTTATACCTTCAAAATGAACTTAGATAAATTGACTAAAAGTTGAAAGTTGGGGGGGGGGGGGGGGGAGGGAGGCCTTCTATTACAGGTTTACGGTATTTGAAGATTTTTAGTAATCAAAAAAACAATTTTTTTTATATACAGTAGTTTTAGCAATTTTTATTTCTGAGAAATCCCTAAACTTTCTTTCAGATGAATAACGCAAAAATGTTTTAATCGAAATTCTGAGTTTCTGAAATTTTTGGGACGAAATTTTCGATTTTGGGTATTTAAATTTTTCGCTTGAAAAAAATGACGAGTAGCTAGGATAGATTTTGTTCCCCTTCGCCTACAGTAATCCGTTGGGAAAATTGGAGAAATCTAAAAATCAGGATCATTAATATTCAAGTATCAGAAATTCAGAAATTCAGAAATTCAGAAATTCAGAAATTCAGAAATTCAGAAATTCAGAAATTCAGAAATTCAGAAATTCAGAAATTCAGAAATTCAGAAATTCAGAAATTCAGAAATTCAGAAATTCAGAAATTCAGAAATTCAGAAATTCAGAAATTCAGAAATTCAGAAATTCTGAAGTTCTGAAGTTCTGAAATTCAGAAAATGAGAAATTTCAAAATTTCAAAAAAGCTCACCTTTTGGCAAGTTCCTTCACACTGAGCAATCGCATTTTCGTCTGTGTCGTTGTCTGTATCGTCGTTTGAGATTCTGGGTCATTTTCTGATGACGTCGTCGTTGGATATTCATTGGACATTGACCCTTTTATTCGATTCGACTACCCAGAAAATCTGAAAAAAGAAAAGAATTTTTTGGGTATTCTGAAAAAAGGTAAAATCAAAAAAGTTGGCGACAACATCTAAAAATAAAGAAACTCAAATAAAAAAAATGCATCATGCAACTCTTCAAATGCCGACTATTTCTCTCTTGTGCGCTCATAGGTTAATCGCTTGATTCAACAGAAAAATATAGAAATAGGGAAATGTGTGAAAAACGGAAAATCGGAGAAAAATAATATTGATGATCGGGTGGAAAAGGAACTGTTTATTCTGCTGATGGAGAGCTCTCAATTGTTTTTTTTTTCTTGAGAATCGGGGAAATTAAAAGATGAGATTTTTCCGGAAAATGAGAGAGAGAGAGAGAAAGAGAAAAGCTAGACCGTCTCGTTGTCTGCGTCTCCGCCTCTCCTCCCTTCTAGGACCCGTATCTCGGTTACTGTAGCAGCTATCAAAAAAATTGCAACTAATAAAATGTAGAAAATTTTAAAAGCTACATTTTCGCAGTTGACACCTTTTTGATAACTGCTTTAGTTTTTGAGATAGAACTAATTTTAAATAACAAAACTTGAAATACAGTATCTGAGTTTCTAGGCAACCTATAATTTGGTTTTTTAACAAAAATTAAGGAAAATTAAAAATCTACATTTACTGAAGTTTTTAAATCGTTAGCTCGTTTAGAAGCGAAGATACAGCTATTCTAAAATTGGAAGAGACGCAGACAACGAGACACTCTAACTGTCTGCGTCTCTCCTCAACTTCAAATGATTTTATCTTGGCTTCTAGGCAAGCTAGAGAAATGAAAATCAGACAGAAATACTGAAAATCATTATGTAACGGGCCGGGCCGGGCCGGGCTTTTTACCGAATTTTGGAGGCCCAACCTGGCCCGGAAAAAACACATAAGGACCCTTATGTGATTTTTTCCGAGTTTTTTAAAATATTTTTTGATCGAACAGACAAACAATCCAAAATAACAAAAAAAACATGGAGAAAATTGTATTGAGAGCTCAAAATTCGGTTCAAAATGACAAAATTTTTGCTACCGGGCCTCGAAATTTTCCTCAGGCCCGGCGCGGCCCGGGCCCGGGTTTTGGCGGGCGGGCCCGGATTTTTACAAGTATGCTGAAAATTATTATTTCTACACGAAACTGAAATTTTAAATATCTCATAGAAATCGGAAATTTAAGAATTCTGACATCAAAAGTATGCTGAACGTTTTGAAAAGTGAAAAACCCCTCAAAAATCAAAAATTCCGAAATTCTAAAATTTTAAAAAATTCTCAAAGTTCCGATTTTTTTTTGAAAATCTGAGAATCATTTGAGAAAATTGAAATGTCTAAAAACTCTGAATCTTTAAAAAAATCAAAAACCAAAATTACAATTTCGCGGGCATCCCGACAAACAGACACACAGATAGGCGCTCGAATTTCCGTAAAAAGTTCTATTCTTCCGTTTTTTTCCGGGTTTTTTAGAATTCGATGGCCTGAAGGATTCTGGATCCAATGACACTATACAATCTATCAAGAAAAAAACCACTCAGCTATGGAGAAATGACCATCCGAATCCGATAAAACCGATCATTTTCTATTCAGAAGAACGTGTTTCAGTTCTTCTTCTATTTCCCCAAGTACCATTTAGTAGGAAATGTATATTACTTGTAACATATATGGAAAATGAAGGGGAAACGTTTACAGGAACCTACTTGAACAAAAAAAAGAGAAGACGCGGAAGAAGGACATAAAGTATAATAAAAGGGTATTAAAAAACCTTGAAAAAGAACACGAAAAATGAAGTGAAAGTGTTTGAGGTCAGAATTTGGGAATCATTGGAATCTTAGAACTCCAAAATGGACCAGGATTTTCCTAGGCCACGGCCACTGTAAGCCTCAAAAAATAATTCACAGACTGCCCAAGAAAATGATCATAACACAGAAAAAGGGCGAAATTTTTCCGACTGTTTAGCCAGGAAGACATACTTTTGCACAAAGAGCAAGAAAACCGCGGGGGTGAAAAGAAAATGTGTTGTTTTCTATTTGTCTATGTTTTCGTTGGGTAACTTCAATGACCAGAACCACTCTAACAATGGTTATCGTCACCTTTTTTACCGGGGGAAGGGGCATCTGGACAGATAGATTGACGGATAGGAAACGTTTGTGGACCAATCAGGCCAGATTTAGAACTTCAAACGCTTGTGAACCAAAAGAGAATAAGCCTCGTGAGGGGCATTTTTTCTGAGTCTTTCATGTCCTGCCCTCTATTGTTTCATTACACCGGTCAATAAATTAAATAAATAAATAAAAAAGAAGGTACAGTGCTTAGACGCTCTTGATGCGCTCCGAAAGGGCGTCATCCTATACTCCATCTTCAAGCTCAATTATCTCAATTAATATAAAAGATAGCAAAATATTGTCAATAAAATGCTTGGCTTAATATTATTATATTTTATTAGTTTACAACTTTTTGATATCTCTCACAGAAAATGAGATAAATTGGCTCAAATTTAGGATTATGTAAACTACTAAACTACAAACTACTCTGTGGCTACTACTCGGACAACGATTTTAAGATTCTCAGATCTTTAAACTAGAGAACTTTAAAACTTAGAACCTAACTGTAAAACCTAACTGCTTGGATATTCCTAAACCCTGGTTTGAATTTCAAATCCTTGTGAACCAAAAGAGAATAAAAAAGAAGGTACAGTGGAGACGCGCTCGGTCCAAGATGACGACATCCTATACTTCATCTTCAAGCTCAATTATCTCGGCCCATTTGAAAGATATCAATAATTTGTCAACTGATAAAATGTTTAACATAATATCAGCAACATTTTATTTGTTTATAACTTTTTGATATCTCTCATAAGAACCGTGATAATTGAGCTCAAAGTGCAGTATAGCCAGTATCTGACCATAAACGTTTGAATTCCAAATTCCTTGAAAAAATGGGAGGAAAACTAGGACGCAAAAAAAGGCAATAAAAATGTGTGAGATAAATCACCGGAAGACGAAAAAAAAGTGCCGAAAAAGGAAAAGAGGGAGATTGATGAGAGAAAGAGAGAAAAAGAGAAAAAGAGGATGCATAGATGGATAGGTTGGTTTTCGATAGCTGAGCAATTTGCATTTTTTTTATTCTCTTGACGCCTTGAAAGAAGAGGTGAATGACATTCTCAAGAGCATGTATCTAGTGCTTTCTGAAGAGCTCTTCAGAATTTATCTTGTTTTTTTTCTTTGCTCAATTTGGTGGGAAAGGGAACACATGGAAGGTGAGCAACGATGTCTGCTTGGCTTTTTCTGGGCTCTCAATTAAATAATTATTGAAGAAAAATTAATTAAAAGTTATGTAAACTTGAATTTTAGACATTTTCCTAGTTGGAAGTTTTTTGATATCTCTCACAGGAGCTGAGATAATTATGGACAAAGTTTGACTAGCTTTGCAGCTCTAAAACTCACTTCAAAATTAATATTTTTAAATGAAAAAAATTGGAGAAAATGTAGATTCTTTGAAGCTCTACAAAATAATATAAAATTTCATTATTTTTAAAAGAACTATTTTTTTTACAGAAGGCGCTAAAGTAGACGCCCATTCTGCAGTTTCAAATATGATAAGGCGCGGTTTCAACCTTATAGCTCGCGTCAACCTTAATATTTTTACATGAAACAAATTGAAAAATGTAGATTTTAAAAAGTTCTACAAAATGATATAAAATTTGACTATATTTGAAAAACACATTTCTTTACAGAAGACGCTAAAGTAGACGCCCATTCTGCAGTTTCAAATATGGGGAAGCTTTTAGGCTCATAACTCCTTTCAAAATTAATATTTTTAAATGAAAAAAATTGGAAAATGTAGATTTTGAAAAGTTCTTCAAAATGATTTATAAATCGAATATATTGAAAAAGAAGTTTTTGATGTAACAATAGCAATAAAATATAGGCTCTCGACAACATAGCCAAACACTAGAGGGAGGGGGGAGAGGGGTTGTAAATCAATCAAATTTTATGAGTTATGAGGAATAGAGAATGTACTATTTTATGGGATCAGTGGCCTAGGAATTTGGTTTTAGAATAACACAGTGGCCTAGGACAGGGTGAAGCTAGGCCACGTCTTCTGGAAGAAGCTCTAGAATCTATAGAATCGGCTAAAATAAGGCCATATTTAGCAAAAAAAAAACTGTAGAAAACTATATATTAGCCTAGAAAAAAAATTAGAACATTCCGGAAAACTAGTTCATAAAAACGAAAAAAAAAACTAGTTCCACAGTTTCCAATGTACCTTTAATAACAAGTTGAACCCCATGACCATCTCCCTTGCCCACCTAACAGACAAATATTTGAGTTTTCTTTTCGAATGCAAGCCAACCGTAAACCCGTTTATTTACCGCACAGATCAAGAAAACGATTCACACATTCTTGGAAGATTTCGAACGTTTTAAAGGGACAGAGTTCTAGGAGACAGCAATTTTGGAACCTTTTTCTTTGACTTTATTTATCTTGCTTCCTGTAAAAGATATCAAAAAATAGTTAACTGATAAAATGTTCATCATAAAATCAGCAACATTTTATCAGTTAACATAATTTTGATATCTTTTCTAGGAGCTAAGATAATCTACGTTTAAGATATAACACCCATAAAAAGAGAGGAAGGTGGTGGCTTAAATTAGACGTTGTATAGGCTTTGAGGATCTTCAGTTTCTAATTTGAATTTTAAAGAAAACCGGGAAAACTTCAAAAAGAGGGGTATTATAGGTACAAATGAAAAGTAAATAAAAACAGAATAGAAAGTGTGGGGCGGGGGGGTTTAGGCGGTGTATCCCTTTTCCACCCCAAGGGGATTTGCGGGTTTTGCACAGAATATGTTACATTAAAAGAGAAAAGGAGAGAGAGAGAGAAGAGAGATTTAGACACACAACAGAAAAAGAACAACTTGTATATATTCATATAATCTGTACAGTAGCCAACAGAAATACATGCTCAGTCATTCG